TCACCTCCACCAGCTGGGCTCCGGGGATCCTTCCGCCTCAGCCTTCCAAGTAGCTGGAACTACAGGCGCGCGCTACCATGCTCAGATAATTTTTGATTTATTGTAGAGATGAGGTCTTGCCAAGTTGCCCAGGCGGGTCTCGAACCTGCGGGCTCAGGCAGTCCACTCACCTCAGCCTCCCAAGGCGTCAGTCTTTCTTTTTTAAATATTTATTTATTTTTAAAATTTTTTGAATCAGAATTTCACTCTGTTGCCCAGGCTGGAGGGCAGAGGCATGCTCACAGCCACCGCGGCCTTGATCCACTGGGCTCAGGTGCTCCTTCCGCCTCAGCCTTCTAAGCAGCTGAAACTACAAGCACGCACCACCATGCCCGGCTAATGTTTCAATTTATTGTAGAGATGAGGTCTCACCATATTGCCCAGGCTGGACTCAAACCTGTGGGCTCAGGCAGTCCTCTCACGTCTGCCTTCCAGAGTGCTGCAATTGCAGGTGTGAGCTACTGCACCTGGCTTGATTATTCTTTTTAAAAAATATTTAAATCCATAATCAATTGAATCCACAGATGTGGATCCTATGGGTATGGAGGACTGACTCTACTGTAGCTGAGGAGAGGCAGTGTGTGTATTAACTGGCAGACAAAAATAGGTTTCCATGAAGATAAGACATTGCTGTTTATATATTGTCATCATGTTTGCAGTTCAGTTTTAGTTTATAAAGAGTTAAGTTTGTTCATGTTACGAGGAAGCAGGTTTTTGATGTTACTTAAAATGACAGCTTAACCACAGTTCAAAATGAGGTGGTATCTTCTGGTGTTTTCGTCTAAATGAACTGTTCAAAAGTGTTTCTCAGTATTCTCTGCTTTTGCACTTTCTTGTTGGTAATCCATGGTTTTATCTAGTCACGTATCACTTGTGACAGTGAAACTAGGTTGCAGTCAACCACACTGATTTAGTCGTAACATTACTCTGTTACGATCGAGTAGGATGATTTTTTGATAAACAGGAAGCCGATTCAAGAAGAAATATCTTTGGAAGGATTGGACAGTTAGAAGTACACTCGCTCTCCATTTCTACATTCATTTCATCAGCAGCAGTCTGCATGCATTCCCTCCCATCTGCTGGCCCTGGAGCTTTCGGCTTTGTTTGATCGCCAGGCACACAGTACTGGGCACATGGGAGAAGCTTATTATGGTTGGTTGAATGATGAGGAGAAAACCTGCGAATTTACCTCCAACTTCTCACATGAAAACTAAAATGCATGCACTACTGTGTTCTGCAACCTTGAACAAATGTGACAACCTCAGAGTGGGGGGAGCCTTGCCTCAGGAGAAAATGCCTTTAGGATGTAGATTTCTCTTTATGTGTAGAGTCCAGGACAAGAGTTTTTGTCCACCTCTTGTTCCACGTTACAGTAGCTAACATTTGCATAGCACATGAATGGTTAATGAAATATTGAACATAGATCATTTCATTTAATTATCATATTAGCTTTGAGAAGTAGGTATTTACAGTCTTATTGTTTACATGAGGAAGCAGAGGCTCTGAGATATTAAGTAACATTTCTAGGTTGTCCAGCTACTTATTGCTGAAGTCGGGATTCAAATCTAGAGTTTACAGGTTGAACATTTCTAATATGAAAATTCAAAATCTGAGATGCTCCAGAGTCTGAAATGTTTGGAGCATTTACTTGATGCTCAAAGGACATGTTCATTGGAGCATTTCAGATTTTGGATTTTTGGATTAGGGATGCTCAACTAGTATGTAGTCTACAAATATTCTGATATCTGAAAAAATATGAAATCCAAAACACTTCTGGCCCCAAGCATTTCAAATAAGGGATTTTCAACCTGTAGTATGCCTTTTCACTCTATTTTACTGCTTTTGCCTATTTCCCTGCACTTTGGATGATATAGTGTGTCTCATTTTCCTATAATTGCATATTTTCTTAATAGTGTAAAAAGTGTTATATATTTTTAAGAAACAAAAATAATATAACCAACAGGGCAAGAAGGTTCATGCCTATAATCCTGGTGACTCCAGGGGCTGAGGTGGAAGGATCACTTGAGACCAGGAATTTGAGACCAATCTGGGCAACCTAGCAAGATCCCATCTCTGAAAAAATCAAGAAAACTTAGCCAGGCATGATGGGTTGCACCTATTGTCCCAGCTACTCAGGAGGCTAAGAAGTGAGGATTTCTTGAGCCCAGGAGTTCAAGGCTGCAGTGAGCCATAATCACACCACTGCACACCAGCTTGGGTGACACAGCGAGACCCAGGCTCTAAAACAATTAAGAAAAAACAACAGCCATCATTCAGAAAGTTAATGAAAAGAAAATATTCACCTATAATGCTATCACCTTAATAAACCAGTATTGTAATGAATATCCTTCCAATGTTTTTCCTAGTAATATTTTATATAGTAATGAGTATATATACAATTGAGAACTCATTTATAGCAACATTTCCTTTTTTGATATATAGTCTTCTAATGAAGTTTCTGGACTTCATAATGCAGAATTTTTCTTTATTTTTTAAATTGTATACATCTCTGTATGAATTGCATGTGTTTATGTACTATATTTAAATTGTATATATTTACATTCAAAACAATCTGATGTTTTGCGGCACATAGATATTGTAGATTGTTTACATCTAGCAAATTCACGTATGCATTACCTCACATAGTTATCATTTTTGCAGTGAGAACACTTAACATCCACTCTCTTAGCACTGCTCAAGATAACAATATAGTCTTACTAACTATAGTCACCATGTTGTATGATAGATCTCTTGAACTTAGTCCTCCTATTTAACTGAAGCTTACGTCCTTTGGCCAACATTTCCCCAACTTCAGCCCCTACTAACCCTCATCTTACTCTCTAGTTCTAGGAGATCAACTTTTTTAGTTTCATATGAGTGAGATCATGAAATATTTGCCTTCTGTGTCTGGCTTATTTCCCTTAACATAATATCCTCCAGGTTTACCCATGTTGTCGTAAATGGCAAGATTTCCTTTTTTAATGCTCAGGAGTATGAGGGGACACACACACACCCACAAAGAAATTATTTTTTGAAGGGCAAACCCCTTGTAGTACAGACTTCCCGGCTAACTAAGTGTTCTAGGAACCCATCGACATCAGTGTACCAGCTAGCACTGTTGTGAGAGACTGCATTTGGCTTCAGTGAATTTTTTTTGGAGATTCTTTCAACACGCTTTCATGATGGGTGATTTATGACTGCACCTGTCAGCAGTTTTTGACCAAAAATGGTGTGACTCCCATGCCCCACCCACCCTATTCACCCGATCTCACCCCAAGCAAGTTTATTTTGTTTCTCTGGTTGGAAAAAAGTCCTCAGAGGGAAATGTTTTACCAAAGAGTGAAACAAAAAGTGGTAGAAGCACTAAAAGACATCAAAATTGATGAGTTCAAAAACTGGAAAGCAGTGGAAAAGCATCTTGGTAGGCGTATTGCATCAAAAGAAGAGTACTTTGAAGCTGACAAGTTGAAACATGGAAGAATAAATGCACTTTTAAAAAAAATAAGTAAATTCTGTTTTTTGGGTCCCCCGCCTCACATTCCATTGTGTATATATATATATAATACCATGTTTTCTTTGTCTGTTCATCCACTGATGGACGCAGGTTGATTTCATATCTTAGCTATTGTGAAGAATACTGCAGTGAACGTGAGAATGCAGATATCTCTTTGACATACTGATTTTATTTTCTTTGGATATATACCCAGCAGTTGGATTGCTGAATCATATGGTAGTTCTATTTTTAATTTTTCAAGGAACCTCCATAGTGTTTTCCACAGTGGCCAGACTAATTTACATTCCCACCAACAGTGAGCAAGGGCTTCCTTTTCTCTACATCCTCACCAACACTGACGTTCTGTCGTTTTTTATAATGACCCTTCTAACAAGTGTGAAATAATATCTCATTGTTTTAATTTGCATTTCCCTTATGATTAGCAATGTTGAGCATTGTTTCATGTTTACTGGCCACGTGTATGTCTGCTTTTGAGAGAATGTCTGTTTGTGTCCTCTGACTACTTTTTAATCAGATTGTTTTCTTGCTATTGAGTTGAGCCTCTTATGTATTTTGGATACTAACCTCTTATCAGATGTATAGTTTGCACGTATTTTCTCCCATTCTGTAAGTTGTCTCTTTGCTCTGTTGATTGCTTCTTTTTCTGTGCTGAGTCTTGTTAGTTTGATCTAATCCCATTTGTTTGTTTTTGCTTTTGTTGCCTGTGCCTTTGGGGTCATATCCAAAAAATCATTGCCTAGTTCCATGTCATGGAACTTTTCAAATATGTTTTGTTCTTGCCGTTTCATAATTTGGGGTTTTAGACTTAAGCCGTTAATCCGTTTTGAGTTTTTTTTTTTTAATACACTGTAAGATAAGGGTTTAATTTCATTCTTCTGCATGTGAATATTCAGTTTTTCCTATACCATTTATTGAAAAGACTTGTACTTTGTTAATATTCTGTTTGGTGGATGTTACTGGAGATTGATTGTGTTCAGATGGGGACTATTATAATTAACACCATCATGAATTTGTATATTTAGAGACAGTGGGACAAGAAGAACATGGAGTGTTGGAATGAGAAAGGCCAGGTTTTAAATCCCCATTGCACCACTTAACTACTGTTCATCTTTGGGAAAATTACTTATTTTCTTGGCGATGATGTTTTCTCATCTGTAATATGGTGATAGTAGTACCTAATTCAAAATGTGTTATGAGGACTAAGAGCATTGATACGGAAAACCTACTTTAATCCATTTGAGTATTCAGAACAAGGCAGTTGTTATTTGCCTGGTCAGCTTTTTTTTTTTCTATTTTGGAATATTTTATTAGGATAAATTTTTAGAAGAATGGTGATTGGGCCAAAAGCTGTAAACATTCTTATCTTCCTTAAAAGATGGTTTATCTAATTCTCTTTTAAATGGTTGAGCCAATTTGCATTGTCACCAACATTTTATGAGAGGAAGTTTTATCACATTGCTATCACTGTGGTATATTTTGGTTTCAGAATATTTTTAAAGTTTGATTGGAGAAAAATGGAACTTTTAGTTTGTACCTCTGATTACTAGGTCGAATACTTTATTTCATGTTTACCTATACTTCCAGAATTACATATTTAATGTTTTGTTGAAGATTTTAAAAGTTACATGAGTAAAGGTATACATTTTAACCCCAGTATGTATGTGTTAGGATGTCAGTGATCTCCACGCAGCACACAGAAATATGTAGCTTTGCATGAATCCTTGAATAGATGTGGGTTTTTATAAATAAGCCATTTTCTGTCCTGTTGTTAACATTATGCAACATTGTTAGGGATATTTTCAAATACTTGGTGTTATCCTTGGAATAAAAATTTAAATTTAAAAACAGGAAGAGAAAAAAATAGTGACTATTTGACTATATTATATAAAAGACCCAGGCAAAGTAAGTGGAAGCTGGAAGCTCTGGGCCAAGCATGAGTCAGGTTGTGGGTCAGTAGGGAGTCTCATCTGCTTTAGACCTTGAGCTTCATTACGAAAATTGCCTGTGTTCTCTCTTGTTGGTGAGAGGAGTGCTGCATACAAACAGCTGTAAGAGCCCAGCAAGAAGGAGAGGGACATTTCTCATGTCTTGTTTGGCTGTTGTTCTCCTTGTTCTCTTATCTGTGGTTCTCAGGTAATAACTTTCCGCCGCTGAATAACTATTGAGCTGTATCTCTGAGGATTTATTTTTTAGGCACTTTGGATTTCTTGCTGTTGACTTTTAGCAAGGTATGGCTCTCTGTCAGAATCGGCCATACTTGAAACTTCCGATTCTAGGAACTGAATTTCAATGAAACAAAAAGGAGGCAAGCACCAACATATACTGTTTGTATTATTTAAGTGGTGTTGTCATCTTGATATTGTGATGGTTGAGTGACACAGACTATGGATGAAAAGAAATAAAAGTAATAATCCAGATATGTATCTTACACAAGTAAAGGGATCAGTTAATTGAGAATCATGCCACTATTGCTATTATTAGACCCTTAGTACTTCTTCATCTTAAAATATAGTAAAGAGAAATTGCTATACTTTACCTATAGCTTGGTATCTTTTATTCCACTTCAGAAATTAAAACAGCTCTGGGATAGAATATAGAAGCTGTTTAATACCAATTGCAAATTGAGAAAGCTCATTAAGTATGACTAGTGTGGCAAGTTATTTAACTGAGTAAGAATTGTTTTGATATGTACATTCATATTTATTCTCAGAAGGGCTGAGGGAACCCTAAGGGATCAATGCTCATTTTATCAAAAAATTAAATATAAGCTTGAGGTGGCTACTTCTGTTTGACTAAATCTGCTTAGATAATTCTTTTCCAGGCCTGTCATCCCAGCAGTTTGGTAGATCAAGGTGAGTGGATTGCCTGAGCTTGTGGGTTTGAGGCCAGCCCGGGCAACTTGGCGAGACCTCATCTCTACAATAAATTTTAAAAAATAATAATAATTCTCTTCCTGTTATAGAGATTGGTTTAGAAAGAAATTATCTGGCAATAATTATTCATTAGTGACTTAATATTTCTTAAGCCCCTCCTATATCTTCCCCAGTTTACATAAGTACAATGTGTGTGTGTGTGCGCATGCTCACACTGGCACACACACACATACATATATGATATTTAATAGAACTAAGCAGCTAAACTGTGTACAAAAGAAACTACAACAAAGCTGGAGGGGAGATGGTGAGTCTTACTCCCAGACGCTTCCCACAGATCTGAACACATGCATTTGGCATGCTAGGCCTCACCTGCTTGGGGAGATGAATGCATGTTGCTTGCTGCTTTCATCCCCATAGAATTGTCTGGTTATACTAAAAGGCTTGGTTAAATAGCATTTTACACATTTTGAATTCAGCCCTTTATTTGTGATATGTTTTGACATTTAGCAGAAAAAGTAGCTTCAAGAAATGAAAAAAAATCATTTTGATTTGTTTTGGAATTATTTTCCTGATTGTCAAAGTAATCTATGTTGAAAAGTGTAAAAGAGGAGAGAAAAATCACTTATCTTCCTGCTATCTGGGTCATTATAAGATAGTATATATAGCCTGGTGCAGTGGCTCACACCTGTAATCCCAGCACTTTGGGAGGCCAAGGCAAGAGGATTGCTTGAGCCTAGGAGTTTGAGGCCAGCCTAGGCAACATAGTGAGACCTCGTCTCTACAAAAAATTAAAAAATTTTTTAAAATTAAATTTTAAAGAAGATAGTATATATAGTCATGAGAGATACCTTTGGTCATCTTTTCGCTCCCCCTCAAAGACTAAATGTTTATGGAATCGTTTCCAGTTTTAAATGTGTGGTATTAAAGAAAGATCCTGAATGGCCATCAATCAGTGCCAATATGGACCTCCCATTTCCACCGCTGTCATTTTTATTCTAATCGTTTTGTTTCCATTTGCTAGTTTGAGTTCTGTTTGTTATCTGCTAAGGTAATCAATGCTACCCTGTCCAATTATATATTCTGACTTTGTGCTGCCTGTAAGAACTGGTAATATCATGGTCTCATACCATTTCACAATGGATATGAAGTCTGTCCAATGATTCAGGGTATGGAAAAAAGTCCATAGGTCTTCATTTCTTGTGATATTTAAACAAAATGTTATGAAATTCTTTCTTTCTCTATTACAGATTGGTTGTGATCGTAGCCAAAACCTCGTGGACATTTGTCGAGAGAGGCGGTTTCAGACCTTCGTCTGTGACGCGTTGGCAGTGCCGGTCCGCAGTGGGTCTTGTGATGCCTGCCTCTCCATTGCTGTTATTCACCATTTTGCCACAGCCGTAAGTATTGTCTTCACTCTCAAGGAACTTTTAGCTAAGCTGGCAGGAAAAGTTGATGAATTTTACTGATTTTGGACCCTGTTTTAGCATCTCATTTCTTTCCATTCTCTTTCTTGTCACACAATCTGCTCTCTTTGTACAAGAGCATCTGGAATCAAGATGGGCTCCATGGAAGTCATGTTTACATAAACAGAGACTGGATGGGACTCTGGGCTTTTACTGCTGTGTGCTTTTGCCAGTTGTCTATCCCAAGTCTTCCTCGCTTCTAAATGGCTTTCTTCAAACCCACAGTGTCACAGAGTTTTAGCTGGAAGAGACATTTAGATCATGAGCTCTAGCCTCTTGTATGTGCTGTCTCCCCTGATTCTGAGTCTCTTCTCTGTTTCTCTGTCTTTCCCTTCTCAAACCACACTCTCATCCTTGACGTGTATCACTTCCTTCCCATTCTGTTTTTCCTGCTTCCCCATTGTTTTTTCATAACTCTGTCTTATTTAATTGGTATGTTAACTCTTTGAACATGTTCTTAATTTTAAAAGAAGTTAATTTAATACTTTTATATTTTCTTTAGAGAAAAGAAGAGCATTTGTTTTTCTTAGGAGTCAACATGTGCTCCCCCGATTCAAGCAAAAACTGCAGAGCTCACGTTGTGGGTCACCAGCAGTTTGAGTAGACGTTATGACCTTAAGTCAACCTTAGGAGACTGGCAATCTCTTTATTCTGTCTTCATTTTAAGAAAGATATTTTTGCTAGGTATTACATTCTAGATTGACAATGTTTTCTGGAGTTTCCATCCTTTCTTATCTCTGTGCTTCAGTCTGGGTAATTTATTCTGATCTGAATTCTAGTTTAATAATGATCTGTGCAGATGTGTCTAATTTGCTATTAAATTTGTCTATTGTTTTTTCTGTTCTGGAATTTCTGTCTGACTTAATACATTTTGTCTTTACTGAAATTCTCTATCTTTTCCTCTAGTTTTCCGAATATATTAACCATAGTTATTTTAAAGGCTTTGTCTGGGGATTTATTTCTATGGATTTTTTTTCCCTCTGTTTTCAGTCATTTGGTCATGATTCTATTTAGCATGCTTCATAATATCTTATTGGATGCTGGCTTTGTGTTACAAGGTTTGGATGCTTCTGTCTTTCTCCAGAGAGAGCTGTATTTTCCAAGGGCAAGTAGATGAAGTATGAGCAGATCACCTTAATTCCATAGAGAACGGGTTTTATACTTCATTGGGAATGACTGACATCTATTTTATTTTTGTCCCCACTTCTGGGATGTGGCCCTTCTGGGTCTCAAGTGAAAGCTGCCTATTCTTATTATTTCAGCCTTTATGGTTATTTTTGGTAAGAGAATTTTTGGGGAGATCTTAAATTCCAGTGTCTGTCTCCCCAGCAGTTTGGCTACTAACATCTCTGTTTACCTTTTTAACTTCCCAGCAGCTACTCTGCTGAGTTTCTTGGAATTTCACCCGATGTACATGCAGGTTAGAATTGGCAAATGCTTCCAGGGGAATTTGCTTGTAGACATTTGGAATCCCTTCCCTGCGCTTCCTCCATTAGCCGTGATTCTGTCCTCCAGTTCCTAGTGCTTTGACCTGCTGGCACTTCAAGCTCTTTCCCCTCAGGCCAGGATGACTTTGGCTTTGTCCTCATCTTCTTGTCTCCTACATTGTGAATTAGCAAATGATCTCAGGGAAAAGCAGGGGTGAGCGTAGAGCTCACCTGGGTTTGCTTCCCTTCTCTCAGGGCTGATCCCCTTCAAGCCCTGCCTGCAGTGTTGTGCTCCAGTTCTTTTAAGCAGCAGTTTTATGTATTCCATTCAGCCTTTAAGGTTAATTTTTTGGCAGAATTAATACAAACAATTTCATTGAGGTTATCAGTAAAAGTCTCCATCATACAGTGTACACAGTTCCTTTATACAAGCATTGTGTAAGTGCAGTGGTTAACCTAAAAGGGCTTCACATGACTGCTCTAACCCTCTAAGAAGTTGTCCGTTGTTTCATGGATCCAGCCTGCTGATTAAGGAAAAAGGCACAAGGAAGGTGAGCAGAATTAAAAATCTCCTTTCCCTACTTCCTCAAAACTTTTTTCTGAATCACATAACAAAAGACCCTTTTCTTTCTTTTTTGTTTTATAGAAAACCTTTTGTTAGAGTTTCTTGCTGTTCATCCTAATAGAAAACAGTCCTACAGTCGGTTATATTTTTCCATTTCCTCTGTATCTCCTCTGGGTTGATAATGGAATTGTAGTGTTTTGTGTTTTTGTTTTTTTTTAAATTAGGAACGTAGAGTGGCAGCTCTCCAAGAACTTGTTCGACTCCTGAGACCTGGTGGGAAGGCCCTCATTTATGTCTGGGCAATGGAACAAGAGTATAAGAAGCAGAAGTCCAAGTACCTTAGAGGAAACAAGATTGGCCAAGGAAAGAAAGTGGAGATAAACAGTGATACCCCAGCGCAAGGGTTGCTTGTGGAGCAAATGCTTGACATTGGTCATGAAAACTCAGTAGATTCTGTCCCCTCCATTAATGACTTTCAGGAGGGAGGATGTCATTCAAGGAAAGTTATCACTGCCAAGCTGCCTATTCATACGAACAGGACTTCTTTTTATTCTCAAGATGTACTGGTTCCCTGGCACCTTAGGGGAAACCCTGATAAAGACAAACCTGTTGAGCCCTTTGGCCCAGTAGGATCCCATGACCCAAGGCCTGTGTTTCATCGTTACTACCATGTATTCTGTGAGGGAGAACTGGAAACAGCCTGCCAGACTCTGAGTGATGTCACCATTCTGCAAAGCTACTATGATCAGGGAAATTGGTGTGTAATTCTTCAAAAGGTCTGATTATTTATGTGAATATATCATATATAGCGAAAGAAGCGCTTACTTTTTTTTTTTTTTAGAAAAAAGGAGACTAAATTAGTTATCCTTTTAATAAAAAGAAAACTTGTGGGATGATACCAAAGGAGAACTCCTGAGAAGCCCCTCTGGAAATAAGAGAATCATTAGGAAACATTCCATCTGCTACCATTGGCTGACTTCATAGATGAAGCTCCTTCTACATCCCTGCTAGTGATGGCTTCTAAAATTGATTGAAGTAGTTTGTGCAGTATTTACAATCCCTAGGTAAGAGTCCAGCACTTTGAAGATAACCTTTTGTTATAAAATGTTACTAAATGTGCTAAATCATGAGGATCTTGGTGAAGTAATTATAAAACATTTTAATAAAGAAAATATTCTTGGTCAATAGAAAATTGAAGTTTTATCTGTGACTGCTGGCTCTGTAAAATTATAGACAATAACGACTGTTCCTCACGCCTCACTAGCACAGGGCTGGACACATAATGGGTGCTCAATAGCATCTTGTCGGTCAGATAATACCCAGAAGCTAGTAGGAACCTCCTTCAACATATATTTTTTGAACCCCTACCATATACCAGTTACTGTTTTAAGTACTGGGAATAGAGCAATGGATAAGAAAAAACAAAGCCCTTGCCCTCAAAGAGCTTACATTCTAGAAGGCAAGACAGAAAACAAGCAATAAATAAATAGATACTATGTGTCAGATAGTGATAAATGCCATGAAAAAATAAAGCAGAAGGGGTGATTACACCTGGGAGCAAAAGATTATTTTTGAATGACTGAAATAACTACTAATCCTGACTGTAACTTATTATCAAGAGTTAATTAGTATTCCTAATTCTCTGATATAGGCACTAAAGACAACCCAAATATACTCCTTTAACTCCTTTATTTAAATAGCAAAGGTTAGCATGTGGTCAGGCAGACATAACTATGCCCATATGACCAATGCTATGGTGTCATTATTGGTTATTTGTTTACTCATAGTTTGTTCCAGTAGAGGTATAATCAGGGGTTATTTAAAAAATCTATACACTATTGCATAGTAACCCAGTTAACTTACCACTTAGGTCAGGTTTCCAGTGGGAACAAAGGTAGAAAGCTAACTGTAGGTCAAATGTCATGCAAAGGGGAAGGCTTTTTTTTTTTGAAGAAAATTTGTTTCGATGCATTACTTTGGCTGTAGTAATGCTTAAGACTATTTTTAAAATTGCCTCTGGTAGTGATGGCTGCCTATATAATTACATACCTTTGTTATTAATGTTAGTGACATTTGATCTTCAAGCATCAAGCTTTTAGAATCCTGTAGTGGTCAATAATAGGTCTTAGATGAGATAATGATTATTTTTGTCATGGAATTTCAGTATAAGATCCAGATGTTCTCTTCCTTCTGGATGAGTTTATAAGGTCCATGATATGAAAAGAAGAATATAGGGCTAAAAATAGTTTTATTTTGGATACAAATTCTGTGGATTTACATCAAAATTTGAAGTTCAAGTTATGCTAATACATTTTAAAATCCAAGTCAAATAGATGATTTTATAGGAGGATGAAAATACCAAAATTGAGTCAAGAAGAAAGAAAAACTGAAAGATATTGAAATATAGCAGAGAAATTTAGAACTTGACTCTAGAACCTGATGTCCTACAAATTGAATTCTAGCCATGCCATTTATTAGCTCTGAGATTTTGGGAAAATTTCCTAACTTTCCTATCCTTCAGTTTTTTTGGCTGTAAAATTGGTTTCGTTGCTAGGAAAATTCATTAAAATAATACTTATATGGAATACAAATACTCTTGTATAAGAACATAGTATACATTTGGGAAATGTTCATTATTATTATTCCCAAAAAAGGCCCAGAGGAGTTTTAGGTATTGATCGATGCCAACTCTAATTTGTTAATTGTATAATAAGAATCTGTGTTCTTACTGATTTTCTTTTTTCTGTCTGCATTTTTATATCAGTTGAGACAGATATGTTGAAATCTCTCACTATGATTATGGATTTCTCTATTTTTTCCCTTGTAGGTCTGTCCATAGTAATAGTGCAAATATGGAAAAGATCCAAATGTCCCTCACAGTAGAGTGAGTAAATTATAGTCAATTCATATAATATGTTACTACACAAGCAATTAACGAAACAGTACTTTAAGCTGCAATATAAATAATCTGAGAAACAGAATGCTGAGTAACAGAAGCCATACACAATATAATACCATGTGATTTCTGCAGAGTTTAGGCGTCCCCAAGACCACCCTCACTTCTGCCACCAACTACAAAGTTTGGTATCCCCGAGAACACTCACACTTCTGATGCCAACTGCAAGTTCAGGGGTTTCTAAGACTACCCTGAGGTTTGGTAATTTGCTAGAACTCACTGGACATGTTATACTTATGGTTGTAGTTTATTATAGTGAAAGGATACAAATGACAGTCAGGCCAGGGAAGAGGTGCAGGGGCAGAGTCCAGGAGAGTTCCACGCAGGGACCTTTCATTTGTCTTCTCCCAGCAGCATCGTGGACAGAAGTGAATTCTCCAAGCAACACATGGCGTGTTGCCAACCAGGGATGCTTACCTGAGCCTCGGTGTTCAGAGTTTTTATTGCTACTCATCACGCAGACGTGGTTGTCTATGCAGGTAGCTGACTTTTAGTCTCCATCCCCTCTGATATTGCCTGGCCCCAAGGTTTCCAGGTAAAGTGACCTGCTTATTAGGCAGGATATTCCAAGGGCTAGAGATCAACTCACAGGAACCCAGGGCAAAGGACAGACCTCTCTTTGGATATTAACTCTTTACTACACTACCTCCTTTAGGTAAAAGTTCAAAAACAGGTCAAATCAAGTATATTTTTATAAGGCTAAGTAATAGTAAGTTTTTACTTGGACAAATGAGTGGGCCTTCTGGGGTATTTACAGTGTTTCTTTCCCTGGGTGGTATTTAGAATGGGTGTTGGCTTTGTGATAATTCACTGTGGTGTACACTTATGATTTACATATTTTTATATGTATATTATCAACATTTAAAATAATTTGTAACAGAAAGTTATAAAATAACACAGTTAATTGTTTTAAATAGACTGGGCTCAGTGGCTCAGTCTGTAATTCCAGCACTTTGGGAGGCAAGGCCCGTGGATTCCCTGAGCCCGTGGGTTTGAGACCAGCCCCAGCCCTGGCAACTTGGCGAGACTTCGTCTCTACAATAAATCAAAAAATTTTCCGGGCGTGGTAGCACATGCCTGTTGTTCTGGCTACTTGGAAGACTGAGGCGGAAGGACTGCCGGAGCCCAGCCAGGTCGATGCTGGGGTGGCCGCGAGCATGCCACTGCTGCCTGGGTGACAGAGACTCCAACTAAAAAAAAAAAAGTTTTAAATATGTTTTTATATCAGCTTTTATGAGGTATAATTTGCATATAACATTAACCAATTTCAACCGTACAATTTGATAAGTTTTAGCAAATGTATGTGGTGATGTGATCGTTACCATACTCAAGGTAGAGAACATTTCCACCTTCTTCAAAAGTTTCTCTTTCCCCTTGTAGTCAACCCCCTCCTCTTCTGGCAAAGACTGGCCTGCTTTCTATTGCTATGTTTTTGCCTCTTCTAGAATATCAGATAAATGGAATAATGTACTCAGTAGACAATTATGCCTAGCTTGTTTCACTCTGGACAATGCTTTTGAGATTCATCCATATTCTTGCATATGTCCATAGTTCGCTCCTTTTTTATTGCTGAATAGTATTCTATTATGCAGATATGTCACAATTTATTCATTCACCAGTTTGATTGTTTCTAATTTAGAATGAATAGTTTTTAATTTTTTTTAATTTTTAATTTTAAAGATATGAGGTACAATTCAGGGTTAGGTATACAAATGTTCATTATGCAGTTACCCTTGTTGATGAGCTGTGCCCTCTACTCCCCTGGCAGTTTCCCAGTGCTGCCAATCTCTTTCTTACAGTATTATTATAGATGCTCAAGGCCCGCTTATGAGTGAGAACATGTGGTACTCACTTTTCTGTTTCTGTGATAGATAACTGAGTATAATAGACTCTACATCTATCCAAGTTGCTATGACATCCATATGTTTGTCCTTTTTTATGGCTGCATAATATTCCATTGTGTATATGTACCACATTTTTTTTTTATCCAGTCCAGCTTTAATGAGCAGCATGGTTGGTTTCAATGGGCAGCATGATTGGTTCCATGCTACTGTGAATAGTGCTGCAATAAACATGCATGTAGAGGTATTTTTTTTTGTAGAATGATTTGAGTTCTGCCAGGTATATTCCCAGTAGGGAGATTGCTGGGTCATATGGAAGGTCAACTTCTAGTTCTTTCAGAAATCGCCACACTGTCTTCCAAAGAGGTTGCACTAGTTTGCGGTACCACCAGCAGTGTAGAAGTGTTCCTTTTTCTCCACATCCTCACCAGCATCTGTTTTCATTTGTTTTATTAATTATAGCCATTCTTACTGGGGTTAGGTGGTATCTTAGTGTGGTTTTGATTTGCATTTCTCTGATGATTAGTGAGGCTAAGCACTTTTTAATGTGTCTGTTGGCTCCCAGTATGTCTTCTTTTGAGAAGTATCTATTCATGTCTTTGGCTCACTTTTTAGTGGGGCTGTTTGTTTTTTTTCTTTCAGCATGTTTGAGTTCTTTGTAGATCCTAGACGTTAGGCCTTTGTCAGATATACAGTTGGCAAATATTTTTTCCCAATCTGGGTTGTCTCCCTGCTCTCTTGATAGTTTCTTTTGCTTGACAGAAGCTTTTCAGTTTGATGAGGTCCCACTTGTCTACCTTATCTCTTATGGCATGGACACTTGAGGTTTTTATCAGAAAGTGGTTGCCAGTTCCAATTTCCATAAGGATGCCTCTGGCATTTTCTAAGGTTCTCATAAATTGAAGTTTTACATTTAGGCCTTTGATTCATTTAGAGCTGATTTTTGTGTATAGTGAAAGTAGGGGTCCTGTTTCAATCTTCTGCTTGTGATCAGCCAGTTTTCTCAGAGCCATTTACCGAATAGGCTCTCCTCTCCCCAGTGGTTGTTGGAGGCTTTGTCAAAGATGAGTTGGTTAAGAAATTGAGGTTTTACTTCTGGAATCTCTATCCTATTCCATAGGTCCATATGCCTGTTCTTGTGCCAATACCAGGCTGTTTTGATTATTGAAGCCTTATAGTAAAGTTTGAAGTCTGAAAGTGTGATACCTCCTGCTTTGTTTCTTTTGCTGAGGATTGCTTTGGCTATTCATGATCATTTATGTTTCCATATGAATAGAATGACTAGTTTTTTTAAAAAGCTACTATAAACATTTGAGAATACACCTTTGTATGGACATAGTTTTTCATTTCTCTTGGTCAAATACCTCAAGTTGACTTGCTGGGTCATATG